CTTAGGAGCTACAATGGGTGCCAATAGATTTATCTGTGAGAAATCCCTTAGCTCTTGAGTTTTCTTAGTGAATCTAATTTTTTTCTGGAAGTTTTTGGAGGATCTATTTATTCAGGTTTAATTCCTAGGTAGCATTGGTCATTTGCCTGTGACAGGGTATTCTACTCTGAGCTTCACTCAGTTTTGACCTTTTGGGGCTTTGGTCTTTAACATTGCCTTTTTGGGCAATGTTGTCTACATTACAACATTTTTTTCTGGTCTTTGTTCTATTTGTTTCAGTTGTGCTGGGCATTGTTTTGTATGTTCCAACATTCATGGGCAGCAATCTATGAACTTCCCCTAAGCATTGTTTTGGTGACATGGTCAACCCTGATGGTTTATCCCTCAGGTGCAGTTTTGATCCGGGCTCTCTACTTCCAGACTTAGGTACTGCCAGTCCTGGATATAAAATATTTCAAGTCTCATATCCAGCTATAAGGATTAGTTGGAGTGTTCAGAAACCTACCTACTGTGAGTTTGCATGCTGGGTGCTTGGCTTGTGGTCTGTTTCTTCTGTTGAGGCTTTTGTTTCCTGTTGTAGTACCTCCTGTTTTCCCAGGGTTTCCTTACCCGTTGCTGCTGCTTTGGTTTCCTCCTTTCCTGCATTTGTTTTGGCTTTCTCTGCACTCAGTGTAAGTATATCTGCCATGTTCATTTTTTCAGGGGAGCTTTGCACATGCACAGGTGTGGTCAGATACACTCTTCTTGTCTGATTCATACTTGTTTTAAAACACCATACTCTAGTTTACCATGATAGCATGCAGTTTGCTAGCTTTTGGAACAAGTTAAGTTCCTTTCTCAGGTATTGTAGTTTTTAGCAGAATGTACACAACACCTTCCTCTGGTTACTGGAAGAGTTCCTCTGTTTATAGGGTAGAGTGCTTGTGTTACTTCCTCCATTGAACATAGTTTTTAAAAAAAAATTGCTGTCTATGCCCCTTTTGAGGATATTCTCCACATTTTCTGTTCTGCATGAGACCACAGTGGGGATACAAACCAAAAAACCTGGAGCATGTTCTTCCTACAATTCACTTGTACTATGATTTCCACACATATCAAAGAATATTAGTTATTTATATATACACATTATATATATATATATATATATAAAAAACTTAGAATCAATAAAAAAAGAACAAAGTGCATAAAAAAAACTAAAATCTTTTGTGGGAAAAACACAAAAAACTACAAAACACAGAAAGCCCTATACAAACTTAAAAAGGCCACATTAATGTGTTATAAAGTGCTATTGTGCTTAGTATTTATACCAATATGAACATACTTGAATGATAGCATGTAGACCTACAATGCTCAGCCTTTGTTTCCCAGATAAAAAGTGCTTAATTATAAAGTGCTAGAATGCTTTTTTTCTTCACTTGTTCACATGTGCCCCTGAAGAATTGTGCACAGGTATCTCTAAATTGGACAGCCACTCACCAATTATTTTACCTCCCCACCACAGAAGGGTAGATGTTTCACTGCTCAGTCTTGTCATCAGTTTGCAGGATTGATCCTTTTCTCCATGACCGACTCCCTATTACAGCCCTATACATTATCACTCTAATGAATGAAAAAGAGTACGCTAGCACTTTATATTAATGTACTTTTTGTGTGGGGAACAAAGACTTAAAGAATTTTGATATTGTTAGTATTACTGAGCGCAATAGCACTTTATAGCAGATTAGTGTGGATGATTTAGTGTGTATAGGGCAGTGGTGGCGAACCAATGGCACGTGTGCCAGGGAGGGCACGCGGGGCCCTCTCTGCCGGCACGCGAGCCCAGGTTCAGGGACCACCAATGGAAATAGATTCAACCGACCCGGATCACCTCAGTATGCGATCCGGGCCAGTCCCAATCAGGCAGTGGCGGCGGCCTCTAAACAGGCAGATTAGACGGCCGCTTCCTCAAGGTCAATGTTATTCAATGGAGCTGTTCTAATGTACAACTCCATGTCGCCCGCCGCTGTCGCTTCAGCAGGACCCTGAATGACTGAAGTTCTAACTTTTTGCACTCTATCAAAAAAGTTCACAGTATTACCTAATTACATGTAAAAAAAAAACAATAAATGAACGGAAATATTGTGGGGACAACTATAAAAATGAACTATCTGTCATTTTGTTCAATTGGTTAGCAACAGTTGTCTGGTCATCCCACACAATTGTAGATGGTGTGACAGATTGTTGTGGAAACATACAAACAACTATTGCTAGGTTGGAACACTTTGAACTTTGTTTCCATCAATTTACAATTGCTGTACAATTGTTTTGCAGTTGGTGGTAATCAACTGCAACATATTAAAATAAATCAAAATACTTTGGTCATATTTTCAAGTGCTACACCCTGCCAGTATGTAAGGAATTTTTAAATTTGCATCGAGACGGGTATTTTAAGTGTGTGCAGACATGTAAAGTTTTAGGCAAATGCAAAATTATTTATCTCACATTTCTCTGTAATTTTATTGAATTTCTCACCCCTCAGACTACTACAACACCCTAATCAAGTTCTTAGCACTTCTTCTAAGCACTTGTCATTTGTGTATACTTAAGCTAACCCTGTTTACCAGTGGTGGCCACTATAGGTGGCATCAAGTGCAGTCCATGAGATGTCAAGTAGGCTATGCAATGCCTTTGTAGGCTAAATTTGTTATTAGTAGTATAATGTGGTGCTCCCAGGAAAAAAATTACCTGTTTGTGAAAAAAATGATTTAATGTTGAAGTAAGATCAGGTTGGGTTTGCACAGACAGAAATTATCATGAATGCAACATCCTTACAGGTTTGCAATAATTACAATTCTGAATAACATTGCACTTGCTTACGCAAGTGTTTGACACTCACACAGTAAAAGCAAATGTAATCCAGAGCATCCAACATATTTCTTGGGATCTGGGGATTAATGGGGAGAGAGTATCTTTAACATTTGTAAACAGATTTACATAAAGTATTACATTTCATAACTTTCCTATTTTTACTTTTTTTTTTTTTTCATGGGAGGTTCTGAATCAGTTCAGTGGAGACCTGCTCCAGCTCCCCCATACAGTTCTGCAATAATATCTCACTTCTAAATGTGATTTACTGATGGCTGTAAAAATTTCCCAATAACTCGCAGTGATCTATTGCTGCAGGAAAAAGCAGGACTGAGCTGCGTCAGCTCTGCCCAAACCTCTACACAATAAGGAAGTCATCAGAGAAAGCATTGTATTTACAGCATTTTGTCTCCGATTACTCCTGTGGAGAGCTCTGTAGCAAGGAGTTAAACAATTCAGCTCCTGGGCTCAGCAATGGACCACACCTGTCACCTGCAGCTGATGTTTCTCATCCTAAAGTCTATTGCAGTCACTAGTACTTATTATGCTGCCCACTGTGCCTCAGACAAGATTTAAGGACTGGAGCACAGTGGTTTTAAAGATGAGCACTAACAGGGGGTCAAAAGTTGGGCAGCAGAAATGGATAGCGTGCTGGAAGTCTGCATGCAAAAATGTATACACAGTGCTAAGTAATTTTTTAGCCTTGTACATAATAGCTCCACACCTTCATCTCCATAAGACAGACTGAGAAGAGCTGCTTCATGGGGGTTCTGTTTTTATAAGAGGAATGTGCTCAATGTGCCTTAAAGTATAAGGGAACATAATGGAGACTTGGAATTTATCTGATACATTGGGAACAAGCCATATTTTTCTTGTATACTTATTCACTTAAATACTAATGTTTCTGATACTATTGAGGTATATAGACTGTACAGTTATATACATTTATACACACATACATTTGCTGTATGTGTAAACAGACAGGGGACAAGCAGGACACTTTATCCCATAATATTCTTACTCTCTTACAGGAATTGTCATTTTCATTCAAAAACATTGTGTAAAAATAACTTCAATTACCCATTCATGTGAAAAAGCATATTCATGTTTACATAAAATGCCATGTCATGTGTAGATTATTTTCACATGTTTGGATAATTAGCGAATAATGTGTAACTGGTTTTAAATCTTAAATGTTTATACTTTATTGCTAAGCCATTTAGAATTCACTTCTTTAAAGTCAGGTCAGTAGAAGATGATTTCGAGTTGGTCATTATAGGTTACTGCACTTAACATTTAAGAATTAAGAACTTTGAATAGAGCCAAGTATTTAGCAAACAGACAGGAAATTGTGACTGTGACAAATAGTGAGATCTTTTTTGGTATATGGTGATAAGTAATAACATTTGTTAGCTGGAATGAACAGTACAAATTAGTAAGGAGCCATGACTGTGATATGAGGATGATGGTGAATTAGAGCAGCCCCCGCTGCATACTTCTAGTGTGAAGCATAATGTAGATAATCAAATATTTCTCTAGCTCTGTATGTACCAAAGAAATGTACAAGTTAAGAAAATCCCTGATGACTATGACTAGAGAAAGGGCAGACACAAATAAGTGATGCAATGCTCATCTAATGTCACTTGATCTAAAAATAGCAGAAGTCACCAAAAGTTTGCAGATACCTCAAACAAACTAACTGGTACAATCCAGGTTAAATAAAAACTTGGGCAAATCAGTTTACTCATGTTTAGTTATCATTATACGGGGAAAAATGTGGTAGTCAATTCTAAAACGTGTGTTGGTGTTCACATGCAAACAAAAATCTGAAAACATTAACAGTTGATAGATCTGGTATTGTAATATTTGCCAGTGGACATTTGACTTCTGTCAGCAGATGTAGTTTCAGCACACAGTTTACTGGAAAAAGTGAGGTGGTTTAAACTGGCATACAATATGCTAAAATTAAAAGAATATTTATAGTCTGGAATATCATAATTTTTCAGTTTTACCAAAAACATAAAACACACAAATGATAGAAAGCACTTTTAAATTTGTTAGTATTTGCTACTCTAGAACAGTGTTTTTTATTAACATCTTTAGTTTGGTTGTCACATTATGACTTTACATATTTCCTGTTGTAAAGACTTTTTTTTTAATACTAAGGGATTTCAAATAATTTACACACCCAACAGACTTTGGCTGTACATAAGCAGTAGTGGTTTTACAGTATAAATTAGGGACATTGTTTTTAAATGGCAGAAAACTGAAACATGGAAGAAAATGTTAATGCCAAGGTCAAGAAATAAAAAGCAATAGTCTACTTTGTTTGTAAAAGAACTTTGGCATTCTCTTATAATGTTTGTTGTAACTGTTAGAATATTAAATATGCAGTTGATGAGGCACATATTCATGTAAATTTTATTGGTTGTTATTATTTTAGGATGAATAATCTTCATGTGAAGCTTCATTGCTATTCTTTCCAAGTCCCAAGGAATTTTTTATCCAAAAATATCACCTCTTTTACTGCACCAAACCACTAGGCTGATCATAGCTGCTGTCAAGAAAACTGGAATTAGAATAAGAGTTGTGAGAATGTCATCTGGGGGATCTTCCCATGCGACGGTGTCCAAAGTGCAGTTTGAAAAAAATTGTCTATGTATTCCAGTAATGAATCTCTCTGCCAAGATGTTTGGCCAGAAGCAGTCAGCATTCTTTGCAGTAGTTTCTGTACAGTTGGAGAAGCTGTCATAATACCTGCAAAATACAAAAAAGAATAAAGTATGCATTAAATGAGAATAGTAGCATATACATAATGGAAAAAAGAACATTACAAAAGTATTAAATACAGTGGGGGGAATTTATCGAGGGAGTTGCTCCACTTTTCTTTAAGTGACAAATTGTCCACGTTATTTGCACCTTATTTATCAATGCAGTCTAAGGCTTGATAATAAATGTCATTTTCATTAGACATGTTGGGGGGAATTTATCATAGCAATTGCGAGTGTTTGAACTTGCACGAAATATATTTGCACCAGATTTATCAAGCTAGTGTAATGTTGTTGATAAATGAGGTTTAATAGACTCCAGGAAAAAAGACGTCTTACTTCAGGCAAAAAGCTTAACTGTCGCATCTTGAAGAAGTGGTCACGGGGACTTCTTAAGTTGTGTCTGTTTTCTTAGGTGATGCTCCAGTTTCATACAGCCCCGGAAACAAGTGCAGATGAAAACAGGTGCAAAAAAACATGCAGTTGAAAAGTAGTGCAAGCTCTGAAGAAAACAGGGGCAAAAAACATGCAATTGAAAATGTATTGCAAGCTCTGAAGAAAACAGGTGCAAAACATGTGCAAAAACATGTGCAGTTGGAAAAGTAGTGCAAGCTTTGGGCAAAACATGTGCAGTTGGAAAAGTAGTGCAAGCTCTGTTGAAAACAGGGGCACATGTTAAAAGACAGATTTGCACATAAATAAAATGATCTAAGAGGCTAAAACTGTTGTAATTGCTTTGATAAATTCCCCCAGTGTATGTGTGTTTGCATAGACAGGATCGAAGGGGCTGTTTCATATAAAAAAAATGTATATTAACTCTGCAAAAAAGAATGCTAATAAATAAGGTGAACCCGTGTGTTTACATCAAATACCCTGTATGTGCAATGGAAAAGTAAAAAAAAACAGGATTTTTGTTAGCACATGATTATGTATTCATGGCAAGCACCACTTCATTTTATTGGCTAACATTCTTTTTGAACAGCTGCTGCTCCTTTAGTAAATTGACCTTAGTCTAAGTATACTTTAGTACGCATGAACACATATTTTATCACAAGAAACACATTTGATTTTTCTGTAGGCACATGTCTACATTTCTATCTTTACTGTTATCCAACTAAATACAAAGGTTAATAAAATAACAGACAGCAACTTTAAGGGAAGAAAAGTAATTATCTAAATGTATACAAAAAATCGAAAAACTTGGGATGATGTGACAAAGGAGTTTTTGTAATGCTACATTATTTTAATAATACATTATGTTGGATGCCAACCTCTCTAGATATTGTTTTACTGACAGGTCTGTCAAGTCTCTGTTGCCATGGAAAATAAGGAGAGAGGAGCTGTGATTTCTATTTGTTATGAACTTTGAAGATTATTTTCTCCACAATGCCAACAGTTATAGAGGTCAGTCAGGGTTTGTTTCAAATAATTTTTATTGATTGTTCAAAATATACAAATGGTTTAATGTGCATTGTCTGGGCACATGTGCACCTTAATGCAGATGGGCATGTTTAGTTCCTATGAAGTGTACATGCAGCAGCAATAGGAACACCTTTTTTAAATTTCTTGAAGCACCTAAAGCAGCGATGGCGAACCTTTTTGAGCCCGAGTGCCCAAACTGGATCACTAAACCAACGTACGTGTCTCAAACACACTTCATTCCACTGTTTGAACTAATTGTGTGCTTAAGGTGGGCCTCTGCATTTGTCTTTATGGGCTCTTGGGGACTGTGCAGCTTCCAGGTGGTCCACAAGTGCTTTTAGGTGGGCTAGATGGGCCCTGCAATTGTGTGTATGGGCTAGAGGGGGGATGGGCTGAGCAGCGTCCAGGTCATCTAAAAGTGGTGGTCCTTAAGTGGTCTCTAAGGAGGGCTATGCGGCTCCTAAGGGCAGATCCAGCTTTCTAATTAGACGGCCGCTCGCTGCTGGCTAGGGCCCTGTGAGGCCCCAGCGAGTGGCCATCTAATATGCTCTCCTATGTCTGAGGTAATGGCGCCAATGCTAGAGCGCATGCGCCTCACATACCTTGTCAGTTGTTGATGTCACTGCGCGGCTCCTCGTCTTATCTTCGGTGCGCTTGCGCAGCAGCAGATGACAACGTCTCCGTAGCTCTTTTCTGCGCCTGCATGTCCATCAGTGAACTTTGAAACATTACGGCGGACCTGGGCTCGCGTGCCAGCAGAAACGGCCCCACGTGCCTGCTCTGGCACGCGTGCCATAGGTTCGCCACCGCTGACCTAAAGTATTACTAAAGGCTAGGCGTTTTTTACCTTAATGCATTCTCTGCATTAGGGTAAAAAGTGGCCAGTACCTTTCTTTAACACCTGACCCCCCACACTTACCTGTGGTCAGTCGTCTCCTCTGCTGGGACCAGGAAGATACTTGGCTTTTCCTGAACTTCCTGTTCCTGGGGAAGGGTACTGAGGGCAGAGGAGCCATCTGCTGTCAGTCACAGTGTGACTGTGGGGGTGGGGCTTGCGGAAAGCTGTGTGTGTCTATGGATTGGTGCAGAAACTCCCACGCACGGATGTCTCCTCAGCAGCTGAGGGGGGAGGGGGGCTAGTGTTTTGGGGGCAACTAGAGAACAAGAGAACAAGAAACAAAAGACATTTCAAGAAATGCCAGAAATGCTTTTATAATTCTGTATTTTGTGTAGATACATGTATTGTGGAACCACCATATCTGTAGGGAGGGGGGCTAGTGTTTTGGGGGCAACTAGAGAACAAGGCAACTATTATGTTTAAAAAAGAAACAAAAGACATTTCAAGAAATGCCAGAAATGCTTTTATAATTCTGTATTTTGTGTAGATACATGTATTGTGGAACCACCATATCTGTCTATGTTTTTAATTTGTATACAATTTTGTCTATATTATTCAATAAATATATACATTTTATGCCTACACTCATATATACCCCAGTCTCCTTTTCACTCCCTCTCGCTATCTGTAAAGTGTATCTACAGCTCAAGCTCTATTTTATGTTGTGGATTGACTAGGTTATGGATAGAACCTCCATTGTGGTTTATTTATTTATTTATTTATTTTTACTATGTACCTGCAGGGTAGATTAACTTTTTCTGTTAATCCAATTGATTATCACTTAAAAAGGAAGTTATGGGAAATCCAAAATGTTACAGTTTATACTGAAACAGGAGGTGAGCAAAATTCTTCTAATTTGGATTCCTGTTCTGGGGACAAATGTCTTATGTTCTTCACTTCCTATTGTGTCTCTGAGGCAGGACGAGGAGTGTTCCTTAATGGGAAAAAGACATTAAAAAAAACATTAGAGCTGTTTTAACCTACCCTATCAAAAAAGAAGAAATTTTGTTTTTGCATATATACTTTTCGACCACTTCAGCAATCATCCTTTTTATACACCTTGTAGACATGAGCAAATTTTACATTTCTTCTATGTGCTTGTTTATTCGGAGATAGCTTTTCACTTTTTAGGGCCACTGCAAATAAAATATAGTGCTGTTGAATGTTTTATTGAGCAGAAAGAAAGGGAGGGAAGGAGCACAAATAACTGGCACAGACTTTGTGAAGGTGGATGGACCAGGAAAAAAAAAGTGAATCAGGTGAAAGTGGGTGGGTTGCACTCACGTGTGATGAGATGGATGGGCACACAGGTGATGACCTCCTGGTGATGTCATGAGGTCTGGTTGGGGTGACAGGTGGGTGTTCGGTGGGCAGAGGTGAATCCTTTGAAAAGACCTCATAACATCACCAGGAGGTCATCACCTGTGTGCCCATCCATCTCATCACACGTGAGTGCCCATCTCTCATTCCCACCCACTTTCACCTGATTCACTGGTTTTTCCCTGAGTGCGCTAACCAATCAGTGTCCTTTTTCCAACTTTCTAGTTAAATGTTTTATGCATTTGCAGTTAAAATGTGCTCTTGGCTTTCTGATTCTGCCATCTTCTAAATTACAGGAAGCAACAAACATATGACATTCTTAGTTACATACATGCAGCATGGTTAACACTGTATTTAATTGTCAGTATCTTAGTTTTTTTTTCTGGCTGGAGAATAATGCAAGTAGAGATACATTGGAGACTTTAGTAAAACTGAGTCTGCTGCAAAAATAGCAATCTTTGCGTTTGGCCGAATTTCAGCACTGATATCAACATAAAAAAAAAAACCTAAGGAATTTAAAGTGTATGTCCACGTTTGTAACTGAATTGGGATAACACCTACTATATATTTGTTACATGTTCCCATTCACATTGTATAATTTAAAAAAGAAATAAAAAGAAAATTCTGCTTCAATTAGTCCTCATTTTAGCTTCTCTGTGTTTAATCAATGGTCTCTGTATACAATAGAGTCCACTGATTAAATGCCCCATTGCAGAGTCAGAGTTTTATAAATGGAGCATCTTATCATTGGTCTGTAATATACACACATGGACATTGAATGGACTCTGAGAAGGGAAAATGAGGATATTATGATTGCTCATCATGTTGTGATTTTAAACTAGATATACTTTATGAATGAGGTTTGTTGATAATCAAAGTCATTCAATACTATAACTAGGGATGTCCCGATACCGATGCTAGCATCGGAATCGGGCCCGATACAGGGCATTTTGACAAGTACTTGTACTTGTCAAAATGCCCCAATGCCTAGCGCTGAAGCTTGCGCTATGTTTTTTTTTTTTCTTCTTACTTACCTCGCCGAGCGTCGCGTCACTGCTGCTCCGGTGGGCGGCGCTCCGAGCGGAACTATTCTATACTCGTAAGTTCATTCTAGTTGCCATAGTGTAGTGTTTTCTGATTCATTTGATTACATTGATTCTGCAAAAGAATACAATTGATTTTGCCCTATTCACACAGATTGAATGTAAACATTAGTTTAGCAAAACAAATGGCTCTGTGAACTTTTTATAAAAACACCCTCCAATGTTAAAAGTTGCTATTTGTGCTATTGTCTACAAAACTCCAAATATCAAAAAGAAAAAAATAACATTTACTTTTTTCAAACACAA